TGTTCCGGTCACCTGCTAAATTTAGATTCCCTGCAATATCTTCAAACGGTCAGCCTCAATTATGCTCGTAATCGTTTCACTCGTAAAATTAAATTGGTAGCTTCGTCTTAATGTTCCCGCGTGAATTTATAATTATAAAAATAAACAAATTGTGCACGACACGCGGGAGCTTTCTTGTTGTAATAATTATTTAATTCAACAATTCTTTCGAATTCCTCTCGGAAATTTACATAAAATTCGCGATTGCCATAATTTACAAAAATATGCAAAGTGTTCTTTGAACGTCTAACGTTTGAAATAATTATTTGTGTAACGATACTTCTTGTTCGATGATATTTAAACTGCTCTACAACAATCCTTAGATTATTAAAAATAAGATACGCACTCAACTATGTTCTTTTTATGAAGATATACGCCATAATTGATTACTTCGTTTCCAAGATTTCACTTGGGATCTCATTCTAAAACATTTCTCCAATTGGCAAAAGTCTTCTTTTTACTTTCTCCTGTCTCTCTTGTCCTGCTCTTTGGCATGACATCCTTCCGGGTTCCTTTACTCGCCGATCTGCTTGCCACTTGTGCTCGAGAGAACGGTATTGGACCTTCCGTCTACGTTGGGCAGGTTTATTTTTATTCCATACGACTCGTTCGATTGAACATGACTTGCGGTTACAGGCTCGGCAATATATTTTCAATATGGCGAGTCGACATTCCGACCGTGGACCCGCGAGTCTTTTGTACTCTTTGCCTGCGCCGATCGCTATCCGGCCTTCGTAAAATACGCACAATTCCGGCCGGAATAATAGCGGCTCTCCTGGCGAATTTGTAGTTTCGACGCGAATATCGAAGGTTGGCACCTCGCTTATCCTCGATCGTGTTAATTTAGAATGACTGCGGCCGCGAGTCCTGCTTTGCGACACGGAAATTCGGGGAAAAAGCGCGTATTTCATACGCAATTGAGGTGTAAGCTCGCCAAACGGATACCATCGATTGCGCATCATTGCAACTACTCTTATTTTTCGTGTGTGTAGTTATATTGTTAACAATAAAGTCGTTATATCTAAAGAAATGCTAATGCAAAATTCAGTGCGTTGAATATGTTTGATTTATTGTAAGTATGTAGACTGCAAGTTTTAATGCACTCTGTCATTCTCATAGCTCATTTTTTAAACAATAATCTCTTTAACTAATTCGAAAATTCACTATGGAAAAACAAAACCAAAAATGTTAGCATTCATTGGTGACACAGGGTGTGCCGGAATTCGTAGTGCAACCGAGCAGAAGCTGATTTTACGTGGAAAAATAAAGAAAAATGTGTGATTTGCTACGTAACCCAATGAGAGAAAATCGAGATACTAATTAGTAATTAGTAACTACAAATAATCGTGTGATCATCAGAAGAATTTAAAGTTAATGCATCTTGTATTTGTTGCGTCTGTTTCACTTTGTTTGTGTCACTTTGTCTCACGCGTCTCGCTCGCTCGTGGTCGCGCAAATAATACATACAGAGCATACACATACACACAGAGAGAGAGAGAGAGGGGGGGGAGAGAAAGAAAGAGAGAAAGAAAGAAAGAGAGAGAAAAAGAGAGGGAGAAAGCGCAGACACACACGCCCGATATTCTCCTAGCCGAAAATGGCGACCACGTGAGAGCGAGACGTGACGGGAGTCAGGTCCCGTTGTTTGTTTTTAATCGGCCGAACTCGAGTCCCTCGTTTCGTGGAAATTCAGTATGACGGCTAATTTGGGGTCCTACTTCTGCGAGGGCGTTAACATGGATGAATTGATGGAAATCGGTCCTACTAAACATTTCTCAGCAGAATTCTTCTGAGCAACGGACAGTACATGGTTCGCAACAATTAATATTTATAAGCACTATTTCGGACGAAGACAACTGCGGTAGAAGAATAGACGACAATTAAATCCTTTACAAAGATGAACAAACTTTAAAGTCGATTTTTTCGAAAACGGAGCCCGGGATAAAAAAATGTTGTAGCAAATATTTTTGTATGAAATGTTTTCACATAAAATCACTCCCTGCTCGGTTGTACTAAAAAATTGAATTCTGACACATCCTGTATAAATGGCTGCAATTGTATTTTATTCATAACTATTAGACTGCGGACTTTATGCATTCGTGTTAAAAGCTTTTGAAATTGTTACATTACTTTCAAGCCGTTAAAGCTATTCAAAGAGGAAATACATTCGTATTTGACATTTGTCTTTTCCAATCGATGCAGACAATTTTTGATTTGCATAAAATTCCACAGTCTAGTAATTATTGATTTGTATAAAGTGATCGTGGAAAAATCATGCACGACTCTCTACGGGTCCGGACCGCAGGAAATAGTCAAATTTCATAAACGGTTTTACGAAGTTTAACACCACGCGATAAGCGAGCTCGATGGCCGGAGTGACGCAGAAAACGCAGTTTCCATTTTCGAGCAGTGTTCCCCGTCAACGCGGAACGCATGTAAAAATGAAACCGGTTTTAACAATCGATAATACGTACTCCGACGGGATCCCATTTCTGTCAATCATCCAACAGTCACTAGAAGTTTCAACAAATCCGTAAAAAACGTACCGACGAATATACAATATGCAGTTGCTGCGAAATAATAACCCTCGACTTTATTTAAAACGTTTTGCTATGTGTGAAACGCATTTCCCAATTTTCTGCGACACGTATCGTTTTTCCTGTTCGCAGCTCTCGTCGTTAACTGCTCGATTTTTTTTATTGATACAAAACTTTGAACATGTAAATGTACTGTTATTGCACAAATTTTACCATAAAAGTTCGACCGTACTGCATTTCCGTAATGACGATACGGGAATTTATTTACATTTTCTGCTTCCTGCCTGCAGAAAAATAAATATAATTTTCGCTTTTTTGTCGGAGAAATGTATTCATAAACATTTCACCGGAAACGTCATTATAGAATAAATATTCAAGCGAATAAGAACGTATCTAGATGACGATTTGTCCGAATAAACTTTTACTCGAATAAAAGTTGACTCGAATAAAATATTCCACTAAAAATAATTCATTCGGATAATTATTCCAGATAAATATATTATCCGAAACAATTCTCATACGATTACTACAAGCGAACGCATTGGCTTTTAATAAAATTTTAACATAGTTTGTCGATAAATATTGAACACGTATTTTTTTCTTAAATTCATTGTTCCACACAATGTCAATTGTGAAATACTTTTCAATTTCCCGCAGTCAAATTTTACTAAAATCGGCGTGTTACACTTGGCGGTGTTACCGTGTCAGTCAACAAAATTTTCACTTCCTCATTTTCAAAGAGTTCCAACAAAAGTGAAAAACTTACAGCCAGCAGCGATCGTCGAATACGGCCGCAAAGTTCAAAACCCTTGTGTCAGTTCCGTTTGGAAGAGTCGCGGAAGTTCGCTTTGCTTTTGAAGTCAGCAAGAACCGTCAAGTGTTACAGGGGAATCAGTGTCACCCAACATATCCCATTTGACCAAGTCAAACAATTACGTCGATTACGTAATTCGTTAAATTAGCGAGTGCCGGTTTACGGAGCCGCAGAGGGAGAGAGAGAGAAAGAGAGCGAGAGAGACAGGTCGAACGCTAGGGAAGTTTGTCCAACGTTAGGACTTAGTCGAAAGTTAGCTCGACAACGAGCATCTAGTTAAAAGCATCAGAATACGTTCCAGGTTCCAAACATTCGGGACGCAAAGATAGTTAATTAGGCGGCATTGTTGTCGGTGCTAATAAACGGATGCGTTGACATTAATACAATATACAGACGCAGCATAGGATTAGAGGGTTGGGAAGGTAGGATAACTAACGGTATAGCTGAATTATGCATTAATGGATAGTGATGTTGCGGCTAATCCCGATTCATTCGATTATTTGTGAGACCGTGAACTCTGGCTATGGATATCGCTATTCGAAGCCACGGTTACCCGAAGATTTCTGTTCGCTTTTCATCGGAAATCATCGACGACATTTCTTTTCTCTTATTTCGAACTTAAAATCACATCGATAATTGAGCCGTTTATTTTGAAAGCGGCATAAGTCACTTTGTTTTTAAGTCGATATATATAAGGGTTTGCGTTTTAACACGTTTCAAAATATGGATGCTAACTTTCGAGAAGATTTACTTGTACTTGTTATCTCAGGATACTGATATTTTTCTCAGTATAAATAATTTCGTATAAACATTAAAAAATCACCACTTTTCATTACGGTAAAGTGACTTATGCCACTTTCAAAATAAACGGCTCAATTGTTACCTCGTCGGTGCGAAAAAAAGAACGTTTTCAAACATTTCTCCTAGAGAAACCACTCGATGGATCGGCCTGCAACTAAATTCACCAGAGGGGAGATGCTTCGTAGATCAGTTAAAAAAATCCTCGAGAGGATATGTAAACAATTATTGCTCGCACTTTAATTACCGTGCAGCACCGTTTTGCATCCTCCCGCGTACCATCATAGGCAAAAGGATATTTTCCAAAATTTATTCTAGACGAATATTAAAGAATTGTATAATTTGCTTATAAAATATGGAATTAAAAAAATTATTTATAAAATATGGATTGTAGTTGGAAGATACTAAACGTTCGTGGAATAAACAGAAAGGCTACCAAAAAGAATAGAACGATATTAACCCTTTGCACTCGAGACTATTTCAACTCCAAAATGAAAGCATTTATTTCAAGCTACAGTATTCGCATTTTGTATAGTTGTATTTATTGGATGTACAGAAAATTTAACCTTTTAGCTTATATAAGACTTCTATTTTTTATCAATTTATTGAATTACTTTAGAAAAGAACTTTAACAATGTGTAAATTCTTGTGAAAAACGATACAGCAATTTTTAGTGTCGCCTCAGAGTCGCCGATCGAGTGTAAAGGGTTAAGAGTTGAATATCATAAGATTTTTTGACCTAATTTTTAGACCTAACTGGATTTTTTGAGATATTTTTCGAAATTGAATGTTTGCGTCTTTTTTAATTTCAGAACAAGGACAAAATACGAACAAGAAGAAAACCACGTTTTCGAGACTGCTTCGGGGATTGAAAACGCATCGGAAAGAAAAACAAGGTCAAACTCAGGGTTCCCCAAGACACGGTCGTGCCAGGATGGGGGTGCCCCAAAGAGTAAGTTTTCAAGTATGTTTATCAATTTATATATTCATATTACTCCCCTACCATAAATGCGCTCCTTGTGATCGAAATTTCGCCACGCGATACGTAAAGATCACAACACAAGTGGCGAATGCTCCAAGTCATTTTCGATTCCAAGTATTGACCAAGTATACAATTTCTTCCGAGGATCACGATATTAGATAATGTTTTGCTATTTTACTTACGATCAAGATTTCATTTGAACACAAATTTTAGTATAACACAGTGTTACGCTGATAAGATAATCCAAATATTGTCTTTGGTTGTTAATGCAAGGAGACCGCCTTAAGCAAACGTGAACAGCTCAAACATCTCGGGGAAAGTCTCCTTCTCATCATTTGGAAATTATGCATATCTAACGTGTTTACATTGCAAAATAGCAGTCGATTAAAATCACTTTCTCGAAGCATTTAAGGATAAATTCAAATGTCTAGCACTCAATAAAACCATTTAAACGATAAAATGACGGAAACGCCAAATGACGAAAATTCGTCATTTGTATGTTACAGAAAATAATTGATTCTTGTTCTTTTAATTCTAAATAAATTAAATTCTAATTTTTACCAAACAGAGATAATTTCGATAAAGAACTGATTTCGGCTTCAGTTGCGTCGCATAACGCTGAAGAAATATCAATTATTTATAAAATTAAAGATTCGAATATAATTTACTTCATTTAATTAAAAAAGAGAATAATATAACTTTGTGTTTTCAGTAATTCATTTCAACCTTTTCGTGGATTTAATTTTTTTTTTAACTTCGGAAAGCAAAAAAAAAGAAATTAAAAATTTTATATATAAAGACACAAATTTGTTTTACATCATTTTCCAAAATTTCACGGAAAAATATACGATTTTTAACAAGTTACGTTGTTTTTATATAGACCATATCTCATTTCTACAGATAGTGTCAAAAAATGCTGGCATTTTGTGAATGACGGTGCAAAAATTTACCGGACGAATATGTGTTAACTTTTATACGCTATGAAAAATGAAGGACAGAAAAATTGCACAGAAATGAGAAAAGAATAATAGTTTTCTTACAAATAATTGACTTAAGCGTTATAACGTTTGTACATGATTACTTTTGCAATAATTATAAACCCTTTGCACTCGAGACTATTTTATCTGCATTTATCTCAACCTACAGTATTTCCATTTGATATGATTATTTTTAAGCGCTTATAGAAGACTTCTATTATTTGACAATTTATCGATTTATGTAATATAATAATTGATAAATCATCAATTTATCGATATTTCAACCTACAGCATTCCCATTCGATATGATTATTTTTAAGCGTTTATAGAAGATTTCTATTATTTGACAATTTAATAACGTGAAAATTCTTTTGAAAATCTTGTAGCAATTTTTAGCGTCGCCTCATAGTCGCCACTCGAGTGCGAAGGGTCAAATTCTGAAACATTAAACACGCTGTACAAAAACAACAAGAATTAGCAATTTCTATTAAAGGAAAGGAAGATCGTGCATCGAATCGAATCTCGATTCTATCAGAGAGCAAAAAGAAATAAATTGCTGGTATCAAGATTACATCTAATCTCGAACAAGTATATATTGTACATACATATACGTGGGCACATAGAATATACATAGTACCTGTATTACTATACCATGAATACTGCCGCCGCCATGACTGCCGCGACCATTGTATGAATTCGCTCTGTGACCACAGTCAGAACTGCGTTTCGCTGTCTAGCAGGACATCCTGTGTCTGTAATGGAAGGCAACCGACGAGTTCTCGGAGGATACGAGAGCTGGACCACGATCCACTGGAATAGAATATCGCGAACTGTCGACATATGTCTATCTCTTGTCGACGCCATTTACCGCACATTGCGATTTGTCTTGTTTTGGATTCACCGCTGCCAGTAATACCATAACGCTCGCGCGAACCTAACGACAGAATTGCGCGTTCACTTCCTATAAACACTACTAACACGTTTGTCGGAGATAGTCAACTCCAGCTTTCCGTTCCTTGTGACCCAGATACTAACTCAGCGATATTTCAGACAAACATTTCGAAGCAATAATTTTCGCGCTGGAACGCTTCGAGAAATCCTTGAAAACCTGAGTCCGAATGACGCACAAATCTTGGAAAATCTTGGAAAGCTTAAGGAAGAATTTTAATTGGAATTCATAGCTTCGATCGATCTCGTAAAATAAAAAGATTTGCGAACACGGTTGTAAGAAATATAAATGCGATAAAAATAAATTGTTTCTTTTAATAATTTTGATAATTCGGAAACAGTGTAAAAATATTACTAAATATTTCGTATTGTCTTCGCAATTTTATATTTCAGCTACACATCTCTTTGCCATAAATGCAAAAGAACAACAGTATAGTAATGTCTATTATAATTAAATCATATTTAAATTAGGTAATTAATCCTTATGCACTCGTCTCTAATGATCGCACGAGATATGCTCCCATAATTTGCTTTACCCCTTCACATTTCAATTCGTCCAATTACATTTTATGTTCCATTCCTTCCGTAACAAAAAAAAAGATTAATTTCAGCCGCAATTTTATCGCTAGCTGCGTATACATAATACAAATTAATTATACTTCATTTTTGTCGATGGGAGAAAGGTGGTCTCTCTGCCGCGAAAGAAATCGAAGAATTATTCCTGCGGCCGCGTTTAACCTAATACAGCAGTCCCGCATTTGTACGAACAAGTGGCCAATAAATTTCCAAGCACTAAGCATTTTTCGCGACAGCGGTGTATGGGTAATTAATATCGTCTGCGAGCGTAAGTAAGTGTGCGGTGGGCGGCACCAACGTGTTTTGCGAAAAAGCAATTCGCTCGAGTGCAATTTATCGGGTTCCTTTTAACAACTTCAGCAATTCTAATTCCTGTTATACGCGTACATCCCCTTATTTATGTCCACCTTTATTCTTTCCTTCTTGAATCTCGATACGGGAGCCGCGCCGGAAAATCTGCGTTCAACATAAATGAGGTTACTTTACATAGCCGATGCAGTAAGTATCGAAACAACGAGGCATTTGAAAGAATTTACGGTGGCAGTTAAGCGAATGTACGATAGTTCAGGGTTAACTAGCTCTACATCTCTTCTTCCGATCGGGGCTGAAATAGAGGTAAAAGGTGCGAAATGCTGCAATGGTTTCTTCCTTCGATTTCACCCCTGCAAAATTCTCCTTCCACTTGCAAATCAAAATTTGTCCTAACGAGTCTGTTCGTAATTTCTCACAGGTACATTTCATAGTTATTTCATACGCACTCGTTCTAAATTAAAAGCTCTACGCGATTGATTTGCACAACAGATTTGAATTTTGTTTTTTTAAGTATAAAATTTAGGTATTGATGAACTAATTTCTGTCATTATACAGTTGAAAGTTATAAAAATGGCGACAAGAAATATCTGTTAAGAGGCAGAATTCGAGATGTAAAATGTTATTAACTAGTCTGCTGTTTTTTATGACTATATCCTTCACGACAGAAAATATTGACGTTTTTTTTAATGACGAGTATACATTCTTTATTCGATTATAAATTTCATGGAATTGTTGTATTTAAAATTGCATTGTATTCCTCAAAGGTGCATTTCATATTTATTTTTTACACACTCGTTCTAAATTATTTCTTACATTTATTTCTTGTATTTATTTCATGGAAGACTGGTTTAAATTAATAATTAACAAATTAAAAAATTCGAGAAACATTTTATGATAATATTATATCTGAGTCAACATTATGTGAAATGAAAGTCCAAATAAAGTCTACAATTTAACCAGTTGGCTGGTGCAATCTCTTTGAAACATGTGTAAGTCAGTGTAATTGTGTATTAGTGTGAACTGTATATGTTTGATTTAATATTATCATAAAATGTTTCTCAAATCTTTTAATTTGTTAATTATTAATTTAA